CATGTGGTGTTGGTGGTGACTCACTAGATGTCCCGACTGCTTGCTGGCAATCTCGCATCGTCTTTCCAGCTCCTGGATCCGGATGGTGCTTCCATAGTCTTCTTGGTTAAGATTCGCCATTGCTGCCGACATTTCATCAAGTGTCTTCTGATATTCCCCGATCTCCACCTCCATCTTATTCTTCTCTTTGATCACGGCGCGAAAATCTGCACTGGTGGGTGATTTTGACCTCCCACCCTTCGATGTCGATCTCACGCCCTTCTGCGACGTCCGTGGTGTCGCAGGCGAAGATGATGATCTTCTCGGTGGGGATTCTCTTTTCTTCGACTCCTGATGAACATCGATCTGCTTCCATGATCTTGTGGGAGTAGATATGTCGCTGAATAGCGCGGAACCTCCGCTCCCAGGTTCGTCCTGTGAATCTGCAACCATATCCATCACCGCAGGAAGAGCCATCAATCCATTGGATCCCTCTGAGCTGCTGTTCCCAAAAGTTGCAGTACTTGGGCTCGCCGAAGACGCCATTGTACTGTGTAGGTTATCGTTCCTTTATTGTCCCTGTACCCGCAATAAACCAGCTGTCTCCCAGTCCAGTGTAGAGCTTGTAGTTACGGCTGATAACCTGTCAAGAGACGGCAAGGTGACGTCCCGTGGGACGCTATGCACCGAACCCTCAAGCTGTAATACCAACCACGTAGAAGATGCCGTTATAGCCGAACCCGTGTAAACGTTGTAAGGGAGAAGGAATGATAGTTACAACAGTGGTCCTGACAAATGCAGCGCAAGCAAAGTGTTTTCGCTCTCAATGCCGATCACGTATGTCTGCAGTCACACATCAGATCTTGAACCTCAATTGTGTCTTGAGCCAAATGGCGATCAATGGAACTTGGGAAGCAACACCAACAAGGACCTCAGAACAGCTACCCAATTTCGGCACGGGGCCTAGAGGGTTTTAACAGGAAGTGAATCCCATCCAAGTTGGCAATTCAACCGCATCAAAGACAAGGGCAAATGTTCCGGCGTGACCGGCGCATAAGCATGCCATCCCGGGGTGTTTGAGAAAGGTCCTGCTCCAAACTCATCTGGCCCGATGCCATCATTTATGATTGAGCAATTCCAATTCAGCGTCCGTAAGAAACTGTCTAACCAAATGATGTTCAGTATGCACCGCCACCATTTCGCCAAGCTGAGGAAGTTTCTTGAAAACCGGTTGCATTGAAGGCCTGATGTCTTGGAACTAAGCAGGGTCCAAAACCGAGCTTGAGCTAGTGCACCTTGCAACATAAACGATATGATGTGAGTGCACCGCACCAAATCCGCGAAGCCAACACCCACCAGAGCAATAAACTGACTGACAAAGGCGCTAGTGGCTGCTCGTTCCTTCGCGAGATCCCAAACACTCTGGAAAGTTGTAGTGATAGTGCTGCAGTGACCGATGCTAATTTTGCCATACTGCAAAGTAGCTGTGGCTGCAGCACAAGGGTGTGAACAATCCCCAGCTGCAGGGTTGTTCGGGTGCGACACAAACTGCGGAGAGACATGTGGTGAATGGCGAGATCGAGATGCAATAGCTGTGAACCCAGTGTCACAACCGCGCCTATCAAGCAAAACACGACTCAGAACTTGCAACGCACGTCGCAATTTGTCCTGATCGAAATATCCAGCAGCACCAAGAGCATTAGGCGCAAAGGGTGCCATCGCAGGCGCTCCAGCCGGCTGAACTGCCGCTGTGAGCTGAGCGTCACCAAATCCTGCACCCAAAAGGATGGGCGGGATCTGTCCCTCATGTTCAACCAAAAAAATCGCAGCTCCAAGTCTAGTTCACCTTGCCACTCCGCCAGCAGTGGTTTCCATCCCATCCCTGCAGCAGGCACAGCGACAGCGGAATCCTAGTGGCATCAGTTTCAAACCAAGGCGGTCTCGGTCCACCAAAAAATGGCTGGGGTACTCTTCCAGGCATCAAGACGGGTAACTCCAAATTGAGAGGCCTACCCGCAGTAAGAAGGAACCGCGACATGGGAGCCAACTCAATAGCTTGTTGAAGACCAAGCTCAAAAGAGACCACATTTCCACCGAGCAGTCCCTCCATCTGGCGGCTGTAATCACAAACAGCACGACTAACTTGGCCGACAAGAGTAGCTTGTGCACACTGACAATTCCAGCTTACATCCATCCAACCGTCAAGGGCCGCTTGCAAAAGCGCAACATTGCTCCAGACAATTGACCAGATGAAACTCACCTCAATCGGCCTAGGCGCTGATACTTGCATGTTTGGCATGACCACTTGAAATCTCTCAGTGATCTCACTTCGTGTAAGTTGACCAGGAGGAGGTGCAGCAGCGTCATATAGATTGTACCTAACTGCACTCATTCCAGAGTCAGCAACACTAGCACCACCAGAGATGACCAATTGTAAGCAGCCCAGCCAAATCAGAACGGGCAGGTGAATAGCAAACCTTACGCCTAGCTCGTCCGCGAACCATGATTGATACCGGCAGTCCGAGAAGTGCTCCGAGGCTGCCCAGCTGCATCTGCGACTCCAGGAGGCTGTCCTCCTGCCTCGCTGCGCCGATGGGGGCCACGTCCTGCCCCGGGTTGGCCAACAAGTGGATCTTCGAGCCCGCGTCGTCCGAGATCATCATAAGCTTTCATTTCCACGCGACCCGATTGTTTGTATCTTCCAGGGATACGGAATGCGTTTCAAAAGCACAAAGGTTCCTTACCTTCAAGACATAGTCAGTGTAATCTGAGCGCACCAATTCACGGATGCGCCAAGTGACAACCAACTCTTGAAGACTCACTCCCTTGCCTTCAACCTCTGATGTGGGATTCAACAACTCCTCCCAGGTCCTATCAGACTGTAACTCTCTGCCGACAGTTCCTGAAGAAGCTGCTGCCATAGTAAAATTTGCTCAAGCCTGAGTCAATTTACCAAGAGCGTGAGCACGATATCATTGTGGTAGCGCCCAAATTGGAGCACTAATGAGCGGTGAAACGCATACAACCGTTCGAAGAGCAATCAATAAACTCTCAGACAAAAACATCCAAATCCCATGAACGATGACACTCAATAATCTTAAGATCGACTAGACGAATTTAAAATCCCTCAAAAGGCCTTTATATTAAAATGTGAGTGTCAACGTCACAAGTTGAACGTGTCAACGAGCGTGTACCAAGCTCTCAGACGCTCAGCGCATAGACAATCCTACTTGGATGTTCAGTTGGTAAGCTGAATACAACTGGTGGTTCTAAATCAGGTTTCTTGGTAGGGCTTCTAGGACTAGGAACTCCAGGGGCGTAGGTATTTTCCTTAAATGCTCAGATCTGCTGAGTCCTTTCACAACAAATTCAAGCTTCTGAAAAGATTACCCCCTACGAGGTTCAAAGTGCTTGGAACGCTGGCTATAAGTTATACTGTGTTCAGGGATCCTTACATGTTTCACCTGAACATTGCCTTGTAAATGGTGGTTTTCCTTTATTTTGGCGGAAAAAGCCATGTTTCAAATGGGCAAAATGCATCTGTTAAGGAGCCCCGGTATATTTGAGGTGAAAGGTTATAGTTCTCTTTACAAAATGGATGCACCCTGTCTGACCCGATTCGATCCAATCACGTAAATCATCAGCCCGGAATAAAAACACAACTCACTCTGTACCATGTGTCTGTTCTGATCTTGTGTCCGCAAACCCGGAAGTTTGAAGATCGCTTTGTAGGAAACAAGGCGACAAACAACAAACGATTTCGTGCGCCAGAAGCTGGGCTGCATGCCGACCAAAAGGTGAGGCTTCACAGCCCATCCAGTTGCGGCCGGCGTCCAAAATGAAATCACATTTCAAAACCCGGCCCAACTCGAGGGCAGGGCACACACACAACCATACGCATGATTCTGATCCAGTCTATACTAAACAAAGCAACATCTGACCAGATCAATCTGGGAAGCATGTTTGCGGGCTTGGGCAAAACGCCTTGATTCCCTGGTCACATTTTGGGAGCTTGAAGGAAAGAAGGAGCCCCAAACCAAACCACCAAATGAGGGGCCCCTAGTGGTGATAAATCGATCAACCCTGGTGGGTTCATAAATGGTTGTCCCTTAGAGGGGATCCGGATAAATCTTAGCCCCCTATGAATTCACCAAGTTCTGCTGCGATCAACACTCGGGCGGCTCAAGACCAAAGGTAACGTGAAACAAATTCGGAACCAATAGTCCACCAAGTTATTTATCAAATACGAGGTCGGCATTCGTCATAACCCATCTCAATGTTCTTTGTTTTCCCCTTGGTTTTCTTTGGTCCCGAACCACAAAAGACCTAGGTCCATGTGCATGTTTTTTGTCGAGGGCACCCTTTTCAACATGACCTACATAGTTTCTAGGAAAGTGTTGGAACCCATTTTAGGATCCGATTCATATACCAACACCCAAGTCTGAAGTGCTATGGGCAGTACCAAAGGTTAAACTTAAGCCTGCTAATTAACACAGAACACCCAAAAGCATTAATTTGGAGGCAAAACGCAGTTTCGGCCCCTTTCAAACAGACACACACACACACACACACCCAAATGGATTCGTTTGGTTCAAAAGCAGTCTCCAGCCCCCTGTGTGGCCAGGGGGCAAAAATAACGGTGTCTGCTTTGGTGGTTGACTGGTATAGCGTGCCCATCGCTCCTCCAAACAAACGTTGCAAAAGGTCACCATTGGGTGTCCGGGCACGGGAAAAAATTCCAATCCGCAGATTCCATCGGACCCCCGAAACTGGGTCAGAGGGACTCACAGTTTGAGTCGCCGGAATTTTGTCCTCACAGCTTTTTGTCTGCCACTAAAAGTAGAGCGATTGTTTGTTTGTTTGTTTGTTTGTTTGAGGAGTCTGTTTTCGAGCAGCATGTGGCGCGGGTTGATCGATCCCCTTAGCCGTGTGGAAGTTGGTTCGTTTGCTTTTTGGTTTGTTTGTTTCTCACAATGGTCCACACCCCAGTGACTCAAGTCCAGCTCAATGCGTCAAGGCGCCCAGCAGCGGCGCTGCGTGGCGTAGAGCTCCTCGCCCTCCTTGGCTTGGAGGGGGCAGGAAGCACCGCATGGCTCGTCGCTTTTTGTAGGGAACCCCTTGTTGGTTGGTTTCAAAGAGAGACCAAAAGGAAAGCCAGTACTTGTTGTTTGTTTTGTTTAGTTGATTATTATCATTGGGGGGGAAGATCTATGGTTTGCAACTGCGCATCTGGGGTGCACGGAAAATTAGACTTGCAGCTTCACGTTGAGTCGTCCTCAAGAACAACTCGTTTCAGAGGACCCAGCAGCAGGGAACTAACCCCCACTACCTAGAAGCATAAGTATAACCTGTGTGCTGAGCACAATTGCGTAGACGTGGATAACTACTTTCACTTGGGTTGGAGGTGGTAGGCTCTCGGTGACTTTTGGAGGACCCCTTTTAAGGTTTGTCAAACACTACGCGTTTGGCTTTCCACTGGTTTTCCCCAAAAGCTGGAAGCTGGTCCTGGGGCTATGGCATCAAAAAACTAGCCCCGTCAATAAGCATGGTTAAGTTGCAATCAGTTTGCCACCTAGTTTGAACAAGCAGATTGACATATTCGCACACCTCAGCTTGCCCCTATTCCGTACGGGTGAAACAAAACATGTGTGTTTTTGTCTTTTATTGTTTAGATGCTTTTTTGAGGCTGGTTAGCCAAGGATTGTTCCTGGGAATATCCCTGCAAGAACTAAGAAACCTCAATCCCACAAGAGCAGTCATCCAACATGTAGCTGTTTTATTGTTTATTCCGCCAATTTGCCGTTCCGCTTGAACATCACCCGGAATGGTGACTTGGAGCTTGTCCAAAACTTCTCGAAGGCTGCCCCCAAGCGCTCTTGTCTGCAGACTCCTACCAAAAAGCTGACAACATACACACACACGTTTCTTGAGAATCCCCAGACCGGCAAAATCAATCAGAAGCAGCAATCCAGAAGACGAAAAGCAACACAAGCAAAACCAAGCAAGATCAAGAAAATCCCACGAAAACTTCAAGGAAAACCATTAATTGAAAGCCACACACAAATCCATGAAAACCGACCCAAAACCAGGAAACTTCCAGGAAAACCATCAAACTACACGAAAAACAACACCAAAACCAACCCCAAAAACGCCAGTTGCAGTGAAGCTCATGGCGGCTTTCCTCTGAATTTCTTGGGTTTCCGGGCGGATGGTGCCGCCTCCCGCATGGACCGCGGGCAAAACACCACCTCCCGGCCATCCTCCTGGCAGCGGCTCGCTCGCTCGGCGCGTCCAGACGCAGGGGCTGGGGAGGGAGGGAGGGGAGAGGGAGCCCCGAAAAAAAGCAGGGATCCTTACATTGTTCACCCGAACATTGCAACTTGTAAATGGTGGTGTCCCTTTTTTTTTGGTGGAAAAAGCCATGTTTCAAATGGGCCAAATGCATCTTTTAAGCAGCCCGGTTAAGCCCTTAATAAGGCCTTATTTAGGGCCTTTTGGGGGCCTTTTGGGCTCCCTCCCCAGCCCCCATGAAGACACACATGGAGCTGCCAAATGGCTGTGGCTCAAAAAGGTGGTACCCGTTTTTGGGGCCCTTGTAGGGAAACAAAGACCAAAACCTGCGTAGCGCCGGCTCCCTAATTTTGAGCCACACCCAAATGTTCCCATACCTGCACACACATGGCCATGCAGAATCCAAATCGTACCCCCAGTGAACATCCCAATCCCAACTATAGACTCACATGGGTGGTGCACCTACCCCAAAATGGTAGCATTGGTTTTGACCCACAGCCACATGGAGCTGGCAAATGTTACTAGGGTCCAATGGATAAATCCTATCATCCACAGATATAGATGGACAAATCCTATCATCCACAGATTTACATGGACAAATCTGTTCAACCACAAATGTAGATGGACAAATCCTATCATCCACAGATTTAGATGGACAAAGCCTATCATCCGCAAATGTAGATGGACGAATCCTATCATCCACAGATTTAGATGCACAAATCCTATCATCCACAGAGTTAGATGGACAAATGCTATGATCCACAGATTTAGATGGACAAATCCTATCATCCACAGATTTAGATGGACACATCCTATCATCCACAAATGTAGATGGACACATCCAATCATCCACAGACTTAGATGGACAAATCCTATCATCCACAAATTTAGATGGACAAATCCTAATACATCATCCACAGATATAGATGGACAAATCCTATCATCCGCAGAGTTAGATCAACAAAGCCTATCACCCACATATTGAGATGGACAAATCCTATCATCCACAGATTTAGATGGACAAGTCCTATCATCCACAGATTCAAATGGACAAATCCTATCATCCACAAATTTAGATGGACAAATCCTAATACATCATCCACAGATATAGATGGACAAATCCTATCATCCGCAGAGTTAGATCAACAAAGCCTATCACCCACATATTGAGATGGACAAATCCTATCATCCACAGATTTAGATGGACAAGTCCTATCATCCACAGATTCAAATGGACAAATCCTATCATCCACAAATTTAGATGGACAAATCCTAATACATCATCCACAGATATAGATGGACAAATCCTATCATCCGCAGAGTTAGATCAACAAAGCCTATCACCCACATATTGAGATGGACAAATCCTATCATCCACAGATTTAGATGGACAAGTCCTATCATCCACAGATTCAAATGGACAAATCCTATCATCCACAGATTTAGATGGACAAAGCCTATCATCCGCAGATTTAACTGGACAAAGCTTATCATCCACAGATTTAGATGGATAAATCCTATCATCCACAGATTTAGATGCACAAATCCTATCATCCACAGATTTAGATACAGTCCGATCATCCACAGATTTAGATGGACAATTCCTATCATCCACAGATTTAGATGGACAAATCCTATCATCCACCGATTTAGATGGACACATCCTATCAACCACAAATGTAGATGGACCAATCCTATCATCCATAGATTTAGATGGAGAAATCCTATCATCCACAGATGTAGATGGACAAATCCATCATCAACAGACTTAGATGGACAAATCCTATCATCCATAGATTTAGATGAACAAATCCTGTCATCCACAGATTTAGATGGACAAATCCTATCATTCACAGATTTAGATGGACAAGTCTTATCATCCACAGATTTAGATAGACAAATACTATCATCCACAGATTTAGATGGACAAATCCTATCATCCGCAAATCTAGATGGACAAAGCCTACCATCCACAGTTTAGATGGACAAAGCCTATCATCCGCAGATTTAGATGCACAAATCCTATCATCCACAGATTTAGATACAGTCCGATCATCCACAGATTTAGATGGACAATTCCTATCATCCACAGATTTAGATGGACAAATCCTATCATCCACCGATTTAGATGGACACATCGTATCAACCACAAATGTAGATGGACCAATCCTATCATCCATAGATTTAGATGGACAAATCCTATCATCCACAGATGTAGATGGACAAATCCATCATCAACAGACTTAGATGGACAAATCCTATCATCCATAGATTTAGATGAACAAATCCTGTCATCCACAGATTTAGATGGACAAATCCTATCATTCACAGATTTAGATGGACAAGTCTTATCATCCACAGATTTAGATAGACAAATGCTATCATCCACAGATTTAGATGGACAAATCCTATCATCCGCAAATCTAGATGGACAAAGCCTACCATCCACAGTTTAGATGGACAAAGCCTATCATCCGCAGATTTAGATGGACAAAGCCGATTATCCGCAGAATCAGATGGACAAATCCTACCATCCACTGAATGAGATGGACAAAGCCTATCATCCGCAGATTTAGATGGATGATAGGATTTAGATGGACAAATCCTATCATCCACAGATTTAGATGGACAAAGCCTGTCATCCACAGAATTAGATAGATGCACAAATCCGTTCATCCACAGATTTAGATGGACAAATCCTATAGTCCGCAGAATTGGATGGACGACTCCGTTAATCCGCAGATGATGATGGACAAATCCTATCATGAACAGATTTAGATGGACAAATCCTATCATCCACAGATTTAGATGGGCAAATCCTATCGTCCACAGATTTAAATGGACAAATCCTATCATCCACAGACTTAGATGGACAAATCCTATTATCCACAGACTTAGATGGACAAATTCTGTCATCCACAGATTTAGATAGACAAATGCTATGATCCACAGATTTAGATGGAAAACTCCTATCACCCACAAATTTAGATCGACAAAGCCTATCATGCGCAGATTTGGATGGACAAATCCTATAGTCCACATTTCTAGATGGACAAATCCTATAATCCGCAGATTTGGATGGACGACTCCTATATTCCGCAGATTTAGATGGACAAAGCCTATTATCCGCAGATTTAACTGGACAAAGCCTATCATCCACAGATTTAGATGGATAAATCCTATCATCCACAGATTTAGATGCACAAATCCGATACTCCACAGATTTAGATGAACAAAGCCTATCATCCGCAGACTTAGATGGACAAAGTTTACAATCCGCAGATTTAGATGGATGATAGGGTTTAGATTGACAAATCCTATCATCCACAGATTTAGATGGAAAAATCCTATCATTCACAAATTTAGATCGACAAAGCCTATCATCCGCAGATTTAGATGGACAAATCCTATCATGCACAGATTTAGATGCACAAATCCGATAATCCACAGATTTAGATGGACAAAGCCTATCATCCGCAAATCTAGATGGACAAAGCCTACCATCCACAGTTTAGATGGACAAAGCCTATCATCCGCAGATTTGGATGGATGATAGGATTTAGATGGACAAATCCTATCATCCACAGATTTAGATGGAAACATCATATTATTCACAAATTTAGATCGACAAAGCCTATCATCCGCAGATTTAGATGGACAAATCCTATCATTCACAAATTTAGATCGACAAAGCCTATCATCCGCAGATTTAGATGGACAAATCCTATCATGCACAGATTTAGATGGACAAATCCCATCAGCCGCAGCTTTAGATGGATAAGTTAACAAATCCGATAATCCACAGATGTAGATGGACAAACCGTATAGCCTGCAGATGTAGATGGACAAATCCTATCATCCGCAGATTTAGATGGATAAGTGGACAAAAAAAGATAATCCACAGATTTAGATGGACAAATCCACACATGACACAAGGAAATCCATGTTCTGTGATGCATGTTCCTTTCTGTGAACAATTTCGTCTTTGGGAAGCCCTTTCTGTTGTATACTGTATCACAGGAGTGGATTCCATTCTCCGCAGCCACAAATGGACAAATCCAAATGAAAGTTGTGGACTGGTGACAACATATTTCTGCAATTTTACTATACATCCAAAAGCTGAATTAAGAATTAGATTCAGATCCCCAAGTAAAGGACCCTTATCATGGTGAGCTCGTTTTACCCAGTCGCCATTAAAATTGGCAGATGTACAAAATAATATGTTATAGTGTTGTAGTACCAACATGGAACTTGACTGCGTGGACCGGGGTCCTGGTTTTGCAGTATTCATCTTAAATTATGACTGATGCTTGTAGCCAACCATTGGAACCATGGAAATAATCATTTTAGCAAGAAGTTTGTGAGTTTTGTGAAAGAGAAAATGGAGAGGTTTGTTCGACTGTCTTGCTGTTCGGCATGTCTTTAACCGCTCTGGCTTGTGGTGCTTAGGTGTGCTGTCTGTCTTCAGCCACCCTTAGATTCTAAAAGGACCCTCTGGTCAATGGACTGCAGGATAGGTAACCAGGGGTAGCTATCGTGATACTTGGCCCACACATTTGAGTTGGACGCTCCTTCATTTTTCGTCTAACGAAAAACAATACATTCAAACAAATGTGCTACTCACTAGCGATGGAGTCAATCCGCGCCAGGCACCAAATGCCAAGTGGTTTTTCACAGTATAGCGTGTCATCCATCCCCACTGGTGCGAAGTGACTTTCTTGTGTGTGGGTCCGCCCTGGACAGGGACACCATCTATGATGAATTGGGTTCCCTACTATAGGGTGATGGAAACTGGGATCAATTGGAGCAATTGCAATGGTTATAATCTGTTTGCTTGCTCCTTTGAACATCCAGATGAGGCAGCATCAAACATGGGTTGGTGCACAAAGCGCTATTAAAAATGTTTTATCTCTCTGCGGAAACAGCCTACAAGCTTAGGAGCCTTGGATGTTGGAAAACGATCCATAGCCTTCGCCTAAATCCCCTCTGTTTTGTTTTTTTGCGGGGCTTCTTTCTCAACACTGCAGATTGTTCTCGGTGGCTAGTGCCCCCTAAAAGAAAAAGACAGAAAATTATGTGTTGCTGCGTAGTGGGATGAAAACAATCATGTGTCCAGGGAATATGTTTTGCACAAACGGAAAACGTTCAACACAACATCACTCATCTAATCAAGGACCTCAAACACGAGACCCAGGCTTGATTAGTCCCCATTTGTGCCACTGCAGTCTTCAATTTTATGTGCTTCGGGCGTCACCATGCATCACAGTGAATCCCAAGGACGAACAAGAAAAAAAACATACACTGCACTCAAATGGACGTACAGGGACGATGTGTTCTCCGGTGTATTGGGTGTCTTGTTTCTGCACGGGTAAATGCAGTGTGTTTTCATGCAAGCAAAAAGCAAACACATGCACCAACCAACCAACCAACCAACCAACCAACCAACCAACCAACCACCCAGCCAACCTAGCCAACCCAGCCAACCCAGCCAACCCAGCCAACCCAGCCAACCCAGCCAACCCAGCCAACCCAAACAACCCAACCAACCCAACCAGCCCAACCAACCAAAAAACAAAACACTCGAATAATAAAACAGACAAAACCAAAAAAAACAAACAAACAAACAAAACAAACCAACAAACAAACACACAAACAAACAAACAGACAAACAAACAACAAATCAAATAAACCCAAAAAGGCAAACAAGCAACCAACCCAACAAACAAACAACCAAACAAACAAACGACAAACCAAAAAGCAAGCAAACAAGCAAGCAGGCAAGCAAGCAGGCAAGCAAGCAAACAAACAACACAGACAAAGAAACAAACAAACAAACAAACAAACAACCCACGAACAAACAAAATAACAAACAAACAACCAACCAAACAAACAAACACACACACACACAGAAACAAACAAGCACACAAACACACAAACAAACAAACATACAAGCAAGCAAGCAAGCAAACAAACAAACAAACAAACAAACAAGCAAACAAACAAGCACACAGACAAGACAAGACAAGACAAGACAAGACAATTCAACACAAGACAAAACAAGACACGACAAACAAGCAAGCAAGCAAGCCAAGCAAGCAAGCAAGCAGGCAAGCAAGCATGCACGCACGCACGCAAGCAAACAGGCAGCCAGGCAGGCAGGCAGGCAGGCAGGACAAACAAACACAACAAACGACAATCAAACACAAACAAACAGACAGACAGACAGACAGACAGGCAGGCAGGCAGGCAGGCAGGCAAACAAACAAAAAAGCAATCGCAAAAAACAAGAACACGCGAGCAAGAGAGAAAGCAAACAAGCAAGAAAGCAAACAGGCAAACAAACAAGCAAGCCAGCAAGCAAGCAAGCAAGCAAGCAAGCAAGCCAGGCCACCCCACCGACTCACAGGAAGACACAGAGTTGGACGCTCGAACCGCACCCTGGGAACTGGTGAGCTCCTCAGCAGCCATATCCGCGCTGTGCCTGGACGGATCCCCGCAGAAATCCGCCCCTTTCGGGTGTAGACCACGGTTCTAAGGGAAACGGAGGTTGCCTCCCAAACTTATGTAACCTCTAAGGGGGCTGAAAAGCCCAAGTGCTTGGGGACGAACACTGCTGAAGTTGGGTCCTACCTTTGGGGTGGCTATGGGTGCTAAGTCTGAATGTCTGGTGGTTGGTAGGGCCTCTAAAACCAAGAGGACGCGACTTGTCTTGGTTTGAGTTGATCGCTGTCAGCATGTCTGGCTGATATACAACCAACACATCGTAGAGGGGTTGGTACGGCCCTGCTTGTTGAGTTTCGGGGGCGGCCTGCAAGCATGTGCTCCCCACCCCTTTGGATGGTATAATGAAATACACTAAAAAAAGGTTGCCACCCTTCCTGGGTGGATTTTTAAAACAGGCAAGCGCAAGGAACTCAACAATATTGGCTACGCAACACCCATCTTGGGCTTCGGACCCACGAACCCTGTGACGCTGTTTGTGAAATCCGACAGTTTGCCAACAAGAGAAACGGGCATGCTTGACCCTTGCTTTGGTATGTGGACGGCATGGGAGAGCCGCCCAAAGAACCCCAAAAGGGGACCATCCCCTTATAATCCATAAGGTCACTTGAACTTGATTTGCATGTCGAGTGAATTATAGGAAGAAACCTTTGAGGACAAACGCTGGCCATCCCTACTTGACATGGGTGCAGGACTTTTCCAACGAATCACAGGAACATGTCACAAAGCCAATTGGTTCTCCCTGTCGGGAGCTTACCCATCCACATGAACCTGTGTCACTTCCAAGGGGATTGTCCATCACATCTGTCCCGAACCCAAGTAGTTCTCATGCTGAGTTTGACTCGCATCGTAGCTTGGACAGGACGAAGCCCTGTTGAGTTTTGCTTGTAGGAAACCAAAGTGGTTGCTCTCCCTGTGACTGCAGTAGTGGGAATTTACAGGGGTCCGTTTTGGCATCGCGCATGTTCAGCGGGCCTGGGAGAAGAAAACAAAAACTGAATTGGGCATGGTTCTTTGCGGGTAGTTGATTTCACCGGCAGAAGCGTGGCTCTGGGGGCCTGACTTTTAATCCAATCCTAAACTTCGTGGTTGGCCCTCACGTGGCAGCCAGATTTTCCACGGCGCCGAGTGGCTCGGCATTTCAACAACCCAAGTAGAAAAAGGAGACACACTGCAAACAAGTGGTGGCTCTTAAAGCTCTACTTCTGGCTAGGGAAGTCTTCCGACCTTCATCGGTTCTGATTGCAGCAGGGCAAGAAGCCAGTGCTTCTCCATGGGTTGATGTTCTTTCTCGGCATAGCAGGATGGAAAAGGGAGGCAACAAGTTGGATCCATCTTGGGGTTTGCCAGTCAATCCTCAATCTACGCCAGTTCGTTGTGTTCTGTTCCCAGTGCCTCCAAGTACCTCTATAGTAGGTGTATATATAACCCTTCGCTATTTTATCTTAGCTGTTTTTCATGGTTTTTCATTGATGGCTTTGCCCTGAGTGCCTAGCATAATACATCATCAGCCCAATTGGATTTGGATGGGATGTACTCCCAATAAAGGGAAGCTCGTAACGCAAAGAGCAAACACTGAATGTACGTCGCCATCTTGGCCAAATCGGGGTTGTCGCTCCTGCCCCGAATCAAACACATGAGACTGGCGATGTTGTCAATGAACCACACTCCGCGTCTCCCGCGGAGTTGGTCGGGCCTCGCCGTGAGGGCGTGCACCACGGTCGCCGGGCCCCCACATGTCGTAGACCTGTGAGGAAATGATGGCCACAAAGGCCTCCCGGACTTGCACATTGCCGTCCTGCATCAACCCGTTCTTCTGCCGGAAGGCCTTCACGTTGGCTTCCTGAACTCGCGTCATCAGCCCTTCGCCAGAGCCGCCCGGTCGCTCCCGGAGCGCTCCATGGCTTCAGTGGCATAACGCCCAGGTGCGGCATCACCGCGGAACGCCATGGCTAGGAGCAGCACCCCCCAGCGTAGAGCCTTGGCAGCAACGGATGGGGCAGGCTTCGCATTGGTGGATGCCACATGACGCGCAAACAGATTGAGCCCTGTTACCGCAATAGGCGCAAAAGCCGCCCATAGGGAGGTTCCTCCTCCCATCGTCCAGCCACCCACGGAGAAGCCTCCCCGCTGTGGCTTTGGCCAAGGAGTCACCCTCCCTGGGCCAAGGGGAGGTCGCCAGATTCCACCCAGCCAGCAACGGCGGCGGCTGGGCACGGAGGCCGCTGCCTGCCTCAGCCACCATGGCCTCTGACAGGCAATCCCCCTCAAAGCACCCATGATAGGCGGCCCAAGCCTCCGAAGCAGTTGCGCCTTCTTGAGCCAAGACTGCACGACGACACCAGGTTCCAATGAACGGGAACTTGAAGCCGCCAAGTGACCCGTCACATCTAGCACAAGGGGCATCAATGCAGGGTGCAAATTGAAGGTGGGGTCCCCACTGTCAGCCACAGGCAAAGGCGGTTGCGCGAAGGGGGCATGCAACACTTCCACAGCCGAAAGCCAAAGCAGCCGGGCCTGGCCGTGATGCCCCTGCTGCAGCAAATGGTCCACATGGCGCTTGAAGTCGAGGTAGGCGCCTGTGGATAAGATAGGACGATCCGTGTGAACGGCCAAGTCAACTCCTGGAACTGCCAACATTCGACAAGTAACCCTTGCCGAACACGCAAAAAACAGAAGTCAAAAATAGCCAGTTTGGATCATCCTTGAGCCAAAAGGCCCAGCATGATCCAAGACACTCCTTGCAGAATGAAGCCTGTAAACCCAAGCCTTCCAACCTGATACAGGATTAGCTTGCCTAGCATTGGGCTTGAGTAGATGACCCAGAAAAAGTGTCCAAACTTCTTACCTCTAAAATCGTCCAAACCCAAAAGAGTGACTTGAGCCACCAACAGCCCGGACCCCCAGCGGCCATGGCAAAAACGGGCCGTGTTTTTTGGGGTAGTTGACTCATGAAAGGGAAGCCCCTCTCAAAAAAGGAACAAGATCCGGGCACTGGTCGTTCCCCCCCCCTGTTGAATCCTTTTCCCGGGCCCGCCCCACCCTCCCCTTTTGCCCGGACCGCGGACACCCCCATGCCCCAATTGGTGCTCTTTCGCCTTATCAGCATGGCTCCCTTCCAACCTTGGGGCCCCCGGCAGCGCGACGTCCGCGAGGAGATGCGCGGGAATTCTCTGAGGAAATGCGACGTTTCAAGCGGGTGAATCTGTTTGAGCTGGTCTTTCCTGGTTTCTCCAGTTGGTGGTTCTAGAAAAAGAAAGACAGCTTCCCTTCCCACAAAATTGGTGAAACAAACATGCTGGAGTAGGTTTCTGTGGCTAGCGCGATCACGCACATAGGACTTGCGCACGGGAACTCCCTGTGAGGTCGACTGGATCTCACTTCCGACAAAATTTGCCAAAAGCCCAAAAAGTCCAGTAGCTCTTCAGAAACTATCCAAAGACAAAAAGAGGCCGACTGGGAAGTGCGATTCAGTTTGACTAGGTCAAAGGCATTCGCATCTGCCGGGCCGGTAAGCAGATATTAGCTTCACATAGTTGCCATCAAGCCTGCTGAAACGCACAAAAGCCGAGTTGACCCCGCAAACCGTGCCAAGGAAAGCTTGATTTTGTACTTGCCTAATTTTTCGGTGTGTTTCCAAATAGGAAATTCGAAAACAAAGGCGGGTGGCTTTGTTCTTGTCATTCATTGTTTTTAGTTTTCAAAACGACCCCCAAAAGGGGGCTCCCTCAAAAAAGAGACCCGCCCTCTGGGCGAGTTTGAAAGGTGCTAGTGCAGAGCACTCGCAGCGGCGGGCGGCGGCGGCTCAAAACTTGACTCTCAACTGGGATCCCGTCTGCATCCGTCTGCCAGTCTGCCAGTGGCCTGTGGCTATAAAGGAAACCTCGGCACGACCTTTGTTACTGTATGGACCTGAATTACTCAGATGCCCAGTGGCCAGGGGGGCAAAGTCCAACAAAGGACAAAAGGGCGTCACTGGGCAACTGGGTGAATAAGTAGAATGGGGTGAACTTTGAAACTACTTTCAAGTCGTGATGACAGGAGACTGTTAGTAGTTAGCCCCTTGTTGATCTTTGAGTGAATTCCTCCCAAACACCTGGCAAAATCCTCCAAAAACACCCGGCTCCACAGCCCTGGGCCCCGTTAAAGAGGATTCACAGCTGAGGTTTGTGAAAATACGACCCCCCAGTGAGTCTCCTTTTGGCGGTCCATTTTGTGATGGCAACCCACACGAGTGGGCCTCGGGTTGATCTGGAATGTCTTCCTCTCGGCACCTTTCAAAGATGGGCCAATATGGCTGTGGTTCAAAAATAGGTACCCAAAGTGGAACCCTGTAGATGGAAACATGGACTAAAACCTGGGTCCCCTAGTGGTTAATTTTGAACCACACCCATATGAATGCAACCCAAAAGCCGAAGGGGACACCTTCCATTTGGTACGTGTGGATAGGCAGATCCTTGATCTTCCTGCACGACCTTGTGGCTAGACGCCCAACACAGAAACAAAAAAAAAAAAAATCAACCGTTTGAACAACATCTTTGAGGGGTGCTTGGTAGGATCCCTGCGCCCAAGACGAGAATCCTTTCGGTTTGGGATTCGCCCTCAGCATGAACCCTCAAACAGAGCCTTAAAAGTTCTAGAAACACTTGTCCCACTGGCGCCCCACCCCCCCCCCCCCCCCGCCTGTTTGCACAGCATTTTAACCCTGCCAAAAGCAAACATGGAATCTGAAAGGGACCTTGTGTGTGTGTGTAAGGGACCTCATCGACGATCAATTGTTTCTTTTCTTGCCCCTCTGTGTTCCACGAAAACCCCGGGAAGACGACGCTAAACAAATCTAGGTTGGAAACTTATTGAGTCCTATGGGATGACCATGGCCTCGGCGTCAATCTTTGGAAAGAAACATGTGACATTGGCGTCCATCCAAAGCGGAGGTCACCCCACTCAGCCACACAGTAGGTCTCAGGCACTTCTTGGGGTCCCAAATTCTCATTTTCCGATATCAAGCAAGCTTAGGGCATTCAGAGCCAAGCAAAAGGACACTGGTTCCTTGATGCCTCTTTGTACTTGCACAAAATCCACAGTCAGTTCCTTGCAGTTTGCCCACACTCCCTTTTTGCCTTGGCGATGAGCTTAGGCAATTTTGCTCAGACCCATTGGCCTGCTTTTTTGAAAGCCTCCATGGAGACTTACACATTGGCTGATTACACCCGGATCAGCATAAAGCGGATGCAGGGTACAGGATACTTCTCCCAAGAACTTTCTAGCCATAACAACTGCCAACAGGTCAGAAATGGATCTGGCTCAGGATAGATGGACAAACTCCACGCCTGGTTTATCCCAGCATTCGAAGGGTTTCATCCGTCCCAACTGGTGCCATAAGTGGATTTTGTCCATCCACTGTATCACTGATATCTGATTTTGAATCAGAGCCATAAGCAAAGTGGTCGCAACTGGTAGGTCGCACGGCAAAACAGCTGTCCTAATGACATGGGCATATTGTTACACTTCATAGACCGGACACGAACAAATTTCCAGGGACCTTCATCATGTAAATGGCTCGTTGTATGTTCCGGTGAGCCGGCCCACATGTGGGGTACACTGAAAATCAGATTGTCTGAGTATGGGAAACCAAAACGACAACCACCATGTTTTGGGATCCCCCCATTTGGACGCATGCACATTTGGTCTAACATCAAAAATCAAATCTAGGAGACCAACGGAATGGGAGAGTGGCACCCTGCCCCTGCACCGCGCTAACGATGGGTCGAATCAAGGATAGATTGGTGGGGAAGAGCTTGAGTGAATGCCACCTCTGTTCACTGACCCAAAAGTGAGCGGGGAAGTCATTGGTCCAAAGTGCTTAGCCTGGGCTGCTTCAAAGACTCATTTGCCAGTAAGCTTCAAACTAAACGAAGACATATCAAAGGGAACCCACATGTTCGGTTGGGTATGGGTGTCTACTGAAATAAAATTGGAAACATGGCTGATGCAAAACCAACTCAGGAGGCTTTGGAACGTGCAACGACCTTGGGTGCCGCGTGCAACAGCGGCTGCAAGGCGGCTTTCGTCATGGGCAAGACGGGTGATGAGCCCTCATATTAAAGCATAGTAAGTTAGCTAAGCCAGGGTAAATCATAGTAGAGAGCCATGGGAAATCATAGTAAATCATGGTCAGCCATGGCAAATCATAGTCAACCATGCTTGACCATGGTAAGCCCATGGTGATTCAATGGCAACCTAACACAAACCACGGCAAGCCATTTTAAACCATGGTACGCCATTTCAACCCATGCTAAGCCATGTCACACCATGGTAAGCCATGGTCAGCTATGGTAAATCATAGTGAGCCACGGTAAGCAGCAGTTCACAGTTCAAACACACATAGTGAGCCAAGGTAAACCCGTTGCAGCGCACTGCGGTTCTGTGATGATATGGGATTCTGTCAACTTCATGCATCCGTGAGCGTATGTGTGTGCGCTCGCGCGCGCTCGTGCTGGTGCGCGCCAAACATGTGTTTTTCACAAAAACATACAGTGGATGGAACACCTGCATCAGTTGCAAAACTAGCTGCCAACTACAACCAACTCATGCAAACTGTTCTTTTCAATACACAGCCCCCTGATCGCTGGCAAAAGAGCTAGCATCTGCCTACACCCGTCTGTGGGAGCTGGACCTTCCAGCATGTTATCCCCGGAAAGCTGGCTTATGCTTCGGGCAAGGAAGGAATCCAAATAAAGGACCTGGATCTTGGGATACATCGCTGGTTTTGCCCTTGAAATCGCTCCTAAAACAATCGTCCAGATACCGTGCCCTCCACCAACAAACCTGAGGCAAAGACCCCATGGTTGTGCGAAATATGCGCCATCCCATGACTAATTTGTTTAATCGCTCTCGAAAGGCCTCCACAGGGACTTGGTTGTCGCAAGGCACGCAATCTGAGCTTGGCACTGGCTAAGGTTCGACACCAGAGTACCTTGGAGAAACATGCAGGTCTCCAGGAAGGAAGACACCCGTCATGAAAGGGCCTGTACGTCAAAAAGCCACCAATTGAGGGATGCATGATTATGTGTATGAAAGGGCACCAACGGCAAAGCAAGCAAAAACCAGCAGAGAACTGACGGCGCTTATATAGGCCCTGGTTATGATCCAAGCGAAATTGGGAAGCACAACCTCCTCCAATGGCCGAAAATGTTGGGCGCTCACATCCAAGTGCCCATCCCATCCACAGTGCTCCGTTTCTTGGCGCAAAGAAGAAACAGATCTCTTCGAGTCCCAATTTCCGATTGACCCTGGTAGAAAATGGAAACCCTGTTTGGGGTTAACTAAATTTGGCGGGGAACCTCCGGAAGCAAAAAGCAAAATTGATGAAACAACATGTAAAAAAACAACTTGGGCTGAGATTTTGACAAAGAAGGGTACTACTGTGGATGGACGAAATCCCGCACCGCTTTGAAACCATGAACAAAAACATAGGTTGTTGGCATGTTGCAGGGGAAACACAATTTCCAGCGTTTCTTCCGTGCAGGATTTCGTCCATACACAGTATCAGGGCGGTCCCAAATTTCCTCAACGACAAATTTGGGTGGGCCTCCCTTGACCTCTCCAAACTTTGTGGCAGTCATGTGACGGATAAGTGGGGAACCTCTCCTTTGGGAGGCCTGCAGGAGAACATCCACGGAAAGCACCCTAAGGATCTGCCTTGGCACAGACCAGCGTATTTTGGGTAGCCAGCAATACTAACACTGAAAAAAAAGAAAAGAAGAAGCAAACAAACTAGGGGTCTACCCAGATCGATCAGGGTCTGCCCACAACCGATACCCATCAACCAAGAAACCAATAGGAGACTAGTCAACAACGATACCCCTGTGACAGAGTCCGTTGATCATTTGGCTATGAACTTTGACAAGAAACTACGTCGACAGGCGCTGGTGGCTCCGCCCAAATTGTGCCTAGCAAAGGGTTTCCACGTCAACATCGTACCCATTTAGATACTATCACCTGCTGAGCCTTTGGTGCTTGGTTGCTCTGTTTGAACTGCTGGAAGGTCGGAGGCTTGCAACCAAGCTGCACATGCCCAAGAATCATTTGGACATTTTGCGGCATCTGGCGTAAATCCAGGGCAGATTAGTGATCTTTCTGCCACCAAAGAGCAGGGTGTGCGCTGTCCAGGGTACCAAGAACTCCCGATTAG